GAGTGATGAATGGCTCTAACACATTTTGCCGCCATGCCGATTCTCTGTGTATTGATTTTCATTCGCATCGACGGCACCAGTCTGCGAGGACGCGGTTATTATTTCATCTCTCTTTCACATGCATTCCGCGCGACGAAGGGAGAGAAGAGCTAAGAAGAGTAAAAAGTTGGCGCCGGGAAATTCATTTCATCTTATGGTTTGTTCCAGCTGATAAAATGTTAACGCTCAAATACCTTTGAGAAATAACGTTTCAATCGTTTTGATATTATTTCATACGTGAAACACAAGTATAATTACACGAATTTTACCAAATACAATTGTTACTTTAGCTTAAATAATCAACACATTTATACATATTACTATTGCCATGGATAATAAAACCCACAATTGATGTTCCTTCATTAATTGTTTAAATAAATGAGATTCGAATTTATAAACAAGTGAAAATTGTTGAAAGCTCCTTCATTGAGAGAAAGTGAATTATGATGAATGAGATATGAAAAATTTAGAGCTTTCTATTGGAAGGCTAAAGAATTAACAAAAGATAATTGTTATATGTAGCTTAATTTAGTTTCAAAAATTTTTTTTACTTGATTTAACAAATAAAATAACTTCTTTTTAATTCTATGATTTCTTTTTACAAATTAATAAACATTTGCTAAAACCTTTCATTTTATTTTTAAATATTTTTTACTAATATGTAGTATATTGTAATATAAAAAATCAATGAATTAGTATAGATTGACTTATTCTAATTCACGGCAAACGCAGCATTTGACTGTTAACTCTCTCTCATTGGGTTCTTAAATTGGTTTAGGTGCTTGTTAATTTAAATAAAAATTAAATTTTGATAAAGTTATGTTGTTTCTCAAACTGGGTAAAGGATATTTTGCAACTAGTTAAAAGGTCTAAGTTGCTCTCCATAATTTTGAGTGAGGTTATCAAATTTTCAGTACTTGATATTAAAAGTTCAGAATACTGAAGAAATTTCAAATATAAAAATTTTCATTGTGTTCATGAATTTCAAATTGTTGATAGTTAAATTATGGCATGATAAATAAGATTATGATAAAATGCAATTCTGTACAAAGTTAATTTGATTTAAAATTGCTATTAATTACCATGGCATAATCAAATAAACAATGCGATCATGAATTTAATCATATACTTTGAAGTGGTTCAATTTGTTTTCTCTTTAGTGATATAGGGTGGCAGGTGAAAGGGCATCGGCCTCGCATGGCAGAGCAGTAAGAAATGATGCATAAAGAGGCAAACAAACGGGCTCACGTAACGGCCTGCGACCTTGTGCCATCCGCAAATGAGGATGAGATTCCCGCGGGAAGCAACGTCGGCAAGGCCGGAAAATGTGTGTGTGCCGCTGAATGAGTACATTGTGCGATTCACGAGAAAAAAAAGAAATAAAGTGTGAGTGAAGAGTGCAAACAGCCGCCGTTGCCCACGGGTCCTCTTGGACCCACACATCTCTGGCAGCAGCTCATCAACGGGTTAAACCTTAACAAGGAGACCACATTAGCGAGTGCCTCTTTGAATATTTACACAGGCGGCCGAATTACAGCGTTGAAGACCGACTGGCCCCAGCACGCCGTTTTAATTGCATTTTCTGAGAAATGTTTGGCCTGTTTATGCGAATGCGCCCTGCTGCCGGCTCCAGCGTGACGCGAATTTTAAAATCGCGTCGAGTGTTTATCTCGAGGGATGTTGGCAGGCAACTCATCAGCCCTTTTCTCGACCTCACGAGACTGGCATGTGTTGTTTCCTCGATGTGCGTTAAAACTTTATTCAGACACGCAGGCAGTCGGGCAGTCAATTTTCTAAAGTAACTCTTTATAGTCTTTATTCGCCGTTGAAGTGACGGGGGAGTTGAAAGGACTTGTTAGGTCAGCCGAGTAACGAGGGCGATTCAAAACTTTTCAATATCCTAACTAGAGGGACCTTAAAAAAACTTTTGCTTACATTTAGAGGCCGCTCATCCACGGCGGATTCCTAATAATTTTTCAATGCACGTTAAGGACATTAATTCCAGAACAAATAGGTTGTGTAATTAATTCAAAAGTATTTTTGAAAACAAATTTAGAAAGGTAATTTCATGTTATGTATCAATTCATTGCTATTTAATTTCCAAATATAAGTTCATCGATTATTGACAAAAATACTAACATGCTTGCTAATCAATCTTCTAATTCTGCTGTAATATAAAGTTGAAAAAAACAGCTTGCCAATTAAATATTAATTCTTTCCAGTAAAACTACTTTCAAAAGAGTGATTTTGTTACCACACATTAAGTAAGTCCGTATAAATTATCAAAGTAATGGAATAGACACAAAATTATATAAATTATATAAAATTGATATTTTTTTTTTAAACAAAAAATTATAAAAAAACAATTTAACAGTTTTCTTATATTTTAACCATCAAAATATAAAAATAATAATCATTCTATAGTATTTTCATCTAATGAAATGTAAAAAATGATAAAAAAAAAAGCTTTAGAATTTAATTTTGGTTCGATATAATATAAAATTCAGTTTTTTTATTCTAAATTTGTTCCGATAAATCAACTGTATTATAAAGAAAAAAAATTAAATTTGATTATTCAAATTTCCAGGTTATTTTATTGTTAATTTTCATCTGGTCTGAAGCCAAAATCAGTCATGCTACTTCATTCTAGTACAGCACTTTTCTGCCCGTTGCACCACAGCCAACTCGAAATAATAAATTATTATTCAAGCCGTGCAAGTGAGACAACGAGGCAAAACACTAGACAATTGGAACAATGGGGGCACCATTGTTGTCGACGGGACTAAATAATCAGTGAACAAAACGTGATTTTCAATTAAGAGCTGAATCGGCCCGAGTGCGCGGCGCATTGTGAACTCCGCAGAGAGTCGATGGCTGTTTGCAATATTCGCTGGCCGCTGGGCGGTTAATTAGGCCTCGCAATTATCGAGACGCAATCACTCATGCCATTGTGCGTCCTGTTGCTTTATTGCAAGGCGAAGCGCGTGTCAGCAAAAACCGCACCCATCATACATCACACTCACCCCCTCGGCCAAATTGACTTACCATGCCAAGGGTGCGACCAGATTCTCTCTCCAATTGCCTCGGGCCTCCCTCCGAGCAAAACGTTAATCAAGTTGAAACGCGATATGGACCCGTTTTGTTCAAGAGCGTTTGCAAACTACAGACGAAAATGATGGATCGTACGTTGGTGCGCGAAATTATTTTCTCAAGAGGCCTTTTGCCTGAGCAAACGGAAAATTTAGTCGGACACGTTTTGTTAAAACGCACACAAAGCGCGCAGAAAGATCTAACTTTGCGTAGAAATCTTAAACAAAGGAGAGCAATTTCACGCAAAGTTTGAAACGCCGACACATTGTGTGCAGCCGTGGGTGTTAGGAAGAAATTTGTTTGTCCCGACAAACTTGTGCTTTTAAATTATAAGCTTGGTTGCTCTCTCTCGCAGCCAGAGAGATAAACGCGTCTTTTCTCTGAACTAATGCCGAGCAAGAGAAACCGCAGATAAATTTTTCGATTCTCGTTACAAGAAATACACAGAAAAGAACACTCAAGGACTGGTAGACATGTATTAGAAAATACTTTGCGCGATGCGGGGGTGCTGTGTGTTATCTTTTACGAGCTCTTTGTGTTTCGCTCGCGAGTTCAGAAATTGTGTATCAACAACATCTGCCGCGCGCTTTAGCGAGCACAGCGGCGGCTGCTTTGTGTTTGCTTGTTTTGCACACTTTGCGTCTGCAACACTCGGATATTGCAAAATCTGGTATGATCAGCAGCATCTGCCCTTGCACATCTCTTTCTTTTGAATAAAAATTCGACCAAAAAAAAGTTGAAATTGTGACAGCATTGAAATAATTTGTAAGCCCAATCTGCCTTGAAAGGTAAAGGCACGAGAGATATTAAAATCATCGAGATGTCTTCATTGGTCCTATATTATTAGAAAAAAATACTATATAAAAGTTGAAAATGATTAATTGTTTGGAGAGAAACATATGAATGTTGGTCATGAGTGATCATAAAAAAAATCCACCACAGGTTAATTTAATTGGAGCAAATTTTCATTGAAAATTAATTTGGAAATGTTGAGCTTACATTTCTCAAGATATATATAAAATTTTCTGCTCACACCATTTAAAGTTAGTTTGTCAAAATGGTCAAACTGAGGTAAAAAGAAATTTAAAAAAATTGAATTATCTGCAATTTTTTTAAAACTAAAATAAATTTAGTAAAAAGGCTTCAATTCAAATGAAGAAATTAATTAAGAATTATTTATTTTGCTTTCATTTGCATATTATTTCCACTGTGAAAATAATTCCAGGAATTTGATTCGATTTGTTAGGAAAGCCGCCTGGATTCCGTCTTTCTAGCTTCGGCAAATATTGAGGGAAAACTTGGCTCTAATTAACAGCTTTGAATTGAGCCGTCTCCAACTTGATACCTTCTCCCGTTTCATCTCGTTTGAAGCTCAAAGCTCAAGTCCTCTGAGTTAAGTCGTCTGAGCCCTGCTACAAATTTGAGTCCCGGGGCTCACTCGCTCGTGTCTCAACTCAATGCGTGGCGAGAGCGTGTCATATCTGCTTTAAACATTCTGGGCGACAAAACCATCACAACAGGCAGCATCCAGCAGAGCAGCCGGCAACAAATAATGACAAACAATAATTCGCACTTGACGCGGTGGTTGGACTGCTTGTTGTGCGACGATAAAATCAGCACTGGTGTAATTGGAATGCAAATTGGCGACGTCTGTCTGCCTGAGCCATTACGGCACAGCTTGGGCTGGGAATAATGATGGACTTTTTGCACGGACAGAATAATGCCGTCGTGTCAGGCAGTAAATAAAATAAAATAAATGCGGCAGAGGATCAGATAATGATCGTGAAAGGTTATATTATGCACCGAATGGCGATACTAAATTTTGAGCCCAGTCAGCGATGAGCAAAATCGTGTTTAAATTGAAAAAGTACCTGGTGCCGCAGCTGGAACGATGATCAAATTTAGGACGACCGCCGCCTGTCGCTTCTCCGGGACCCGACTTGACTGAGGATTTTAGAAACAGCACTGAATTTGAGACCCATTTCGGAACTTACAATTAATTCACACATCACGTGTCTCTTTGTAAACAATCACTGACTCCGCCCCCCTCATTTTCCCTCCCTCCGTTTACGCAACAAAAAAGGGCGCGACTATTGCATAATACACTGAACTGACGCCGCCGGGGTAGAACGCTCTGGAAAAACTTTTAAACTTTGATTTGTTCTCGGCAATGTGAAATAATGAAGGGTTTGCAAAGTTTCGTTTTTCTCATCAAATATAAAATATCTTACCTTCAATATCTAAATTTTTTCAAAACGTCAATTAATATGATTTTAATATAAAAATTACATTTGCGCAAAGGAAGTTCATGCTTTTCTGTGAAAAATCCTCAAATTAATAATTCTATTTTAAGGTGGTGTATGCAACTAAAATTTACAGAAGGAAGAATAATAGACATAATAGAAGATCAAAAAGTTAAGCGGTATATTATTCAAATTGTTGTAACTAAACATAATTTCCTTAACTTATTAAAAAAAATAAAATTTAAAAATAATTTAATTTAATTGCAAAATACATGTCGCAAAAAATGCAGTCCAAATTTAATCTGTTATAATTACTTTAAGTGAATTTATAAAATTAAATTAATTTTTTGCTTGCTTAATACAAAGTACTTAAGTACTTTGCACAATTATATGCCACAAAAACTATTGATATTGATTTGACATTAAATTGATTATACTTTGGTAATCAACAAAACAGTTAATTTATTTCTTTCTATTTTTTGCAGCACGTTGCGAACATCAAACGAAACTGCCCGTCTCTTTTTACATGGATTCTTTTTTTTTAATAAAAGATGAAAAACCATCAAATCGGATTAAATTCGATCACATCCAGAGCCAGTTGAGAGAGAATCGGAAGTGGATATAATATTTCACAAGGATAATCAATTTTATGAAGAAAAGAGAATGTCAAAAAGTGTCATGTTTCACAACCCACTCTTGAATTGATAATGCATAGGAAAAAGAAGGGCGAAAACTGCCTTTCCAAGTTTCCACCTCATTTGCGACTGCACGTCCTTGCTTGCTCTTGTGTCCGCATATGAAAAATGCAATCGCGCGCATTTTCCTTTTCCACGGCATTGACCATTCTGAACACGGGAGGTCTCTTCTGGTTTTGATATGCCTTGCAGCGGAGGAATAATTTCCCGCTTTTACGAGCGCGTCTCTTTACGACGGCCTCTCCCTGAATTTCGGTGCTTGCGTTTAGACCAAAATGCGTGAGTATATATTGCAAAAACTCTTCTCTCAATAATGCAAAACCACACTGCGGAAAAATCATCGCGCCCTCTTGAATTCACTCTCTCGTTCATATAATAATCTGAAAAAGTGATGTTGGTGCTGGGCGCGACGAGAGCTGTATGAATCCGAATCCTTTCTGCCCTGCGAACTTCTCGCATTCTCGCTTGATTTGAGCCGCTCTTCCTACATATTCAAAGCATTCATTTGAATGAACAGCGGGGGCGGTTCTTTTCCATTACATTTTATTGCGCGAGTTACGGAGCAACACATCAAAAATGAAATGCATTGTTGGTGTGGCCATAAAAAAACTCTCATTGTTAACTACGATTGTTGTGCTTTTGTTTATTCAAATATTTCGGATTATCAAAATTCCAAATTCCAAAATGAATTTCCACTCCAACGCATTGGCCGAGAATAAAAAGCAGCGTAAGTCAATTGAATAAATAAATTAATATCTTAATCTTCAAAACCTATTCATTGTTTTCAGAAAATTGGAGGTCAAAACTTGAAGATTTTTGTCTTCAGGTGACTCTCCTGCTGCTTCTCGGCGTCTTTACGCTTTACTTTATGGATTATTTGGGCCATTATATGGTACTCTTCATACTTCCACAAGAAATTCTCTGCATCATCTACCAGAGCAACAGCCTGATCGAATTTTTGAAAATGACAAACAAACGACTGGCGCAAGAATTTATGTCGTTGATAATTGCGATTGTGATTGTCACAATCGTTGCTCCGTTCGAAGTGCCGCTGCTCACGTATCTCGCTCTAAACGTGCCTTTGGTTCGATCCCTGCTCTGCTGCCTTCAAGCTGACCAAGTTCAAGGAGCTGCCTTTCTTCCTTCATGTTCCCAAATTTTCTGTCTCACTTAAATTAAAGATACTAAATTATTCACCTTGAAATTTTATATTACAAAATACAAATGATAAATTTATTAACAATTTATTTTATACTTGGCTACAAAATTGTATGGAAGGAAATAATAATAGCATTAGTGCCGAGTCAACAGAGAGCACGATTTTCCAGCTTCCCACGAGAATATAATAGGAAAACGGACGCAGCTGTTATTATTATCGTCATTATTGTATTGGTGCTTGTTCATGCGCGCGTGGCGACTTATCGAGCCGCAAAATTGCTGGCGATTTGCGCTGCAATAATTTATATAGCGTGTTTGTGTACTTGTGTACGGTGCGGGCTCGACATGTCAGCCTAAAGCTATGTTTTTGGGCCAGCGGATGTTTTTGTCAATGCCTTTCAAGCGAGAGATATAAAGCAGCGAGGCAAGAAACGGCTAGATGCGGTGGCCAATTGCAAATAGTGATGTAGCATTTTTTTTCAATGGGACATCGTACAAACAGCCGTTTGTCATATGATGGCACAAAATCATCCTTAGATAACAGATTATTTAAAAAATATAATAATAGAAGCAGATATTCATTTTGAAACAAATTCAGCAACAAAAATCTAGATACTCGTTTCTATGTTTAAAATTTAAAAAGTGATGCACTGCAGAATTGATTTTTGTTTACATGTAAATACTGCACAGATAAAATTTTAAGATTAAAAGATGAAACTATTTTAGTCAATATTTAATTATGCAGAGAATTTTTTATTCTTTTTAAATAAATTGTTTGAATTATTGGCCTTGTAAAAGACGCGTTCCTTTGCAGGTCCATTGGAAAAAGCGCAATTGATGTTCCACTTTTCACCCTTTCTCTCGGTGAGTTGTGTGCAAAGGAGAGGCACGTCTGTGCACGAAGGCGAATGTGAAATGCCGGCAGCAAATTAGGAGCTGCGGCACTTTCCGCCAAATTTCGCAGAGATAAAGGAAATCTCCCGTCATGAGCATTCTCACGCCACCTTGGGGGACGCAGGCAGGGTCCTCGTTTTGCGCTTCCTTCCCTCACGCAACCGCATAATCAACTCTGAAGCTCTTTCGTGAAAAATTAAACCGAAATTGGGGCAAAAAAGAAATAAGAAAAAAATCGCCTTTCGAATTTTGAAGTAGCCAAAATTGCCAAGTTCAAAACAGTAGGGCTTTTCCGAGTGGATTAATTTGCAAATGGCAAAGAGGACGAAAAAGCTTTTCTAGTCGCAAAACTTTTTCCACTCTTGCAATGAAATTTGATTTCCAGTGCCCTGCCGGCTGACTGCTGATGAACGGGCCGTCGATTTTTGTCAGTGCTCGTTCAGGGCACTTTTGTGATTGCGTCCCAAAACTAATTTATTTTGGCCTTTCGTCGACGGTGACGCGGAAATCATTGGCTAGATTAAAACTGCGGATCGCTTTTTCCGCTCGGTGCGATTTTCACAGTGCGCTGATTTGCTTTTTATCGGCGCGACGTGATGAAATTCCGGGAGAGCTACTGTGTCGACGCAATTTGGCACTAATTTGCGACGCGTAATTTTGTCAAAGAAATTGGTCCGCTCTCGCACCACTTCACTTTCGCAAGGGCGGCGGCGGCGGATCTGTTGGCGTTATAATTACAAAGATGCGCGTGGCAGGCAGACAAACAGTGGGCTTTACAAACGGGGCCTGCGAGTGTGTTTGTTTGTCCCACCAATTATCCCTGGCTGTAAATAACGAGATGTTATTTGCGTCTGTTTCCTTCGCTCTGCTCACTTCTCTAGCGAGTATGTGCACTCTCTAGGGCTTAACCTTTCCCAGACGTATAAAAACCTACAGGAGATAACAACAAATTGTGTAAAACAAAACATTTGTTATATATAAACAGAACAATAAATATTAAGTTAACAATTGTTTATATTAATATTATTTATTACTGTATTATTACTAAAAGCTAAAAGTAACATAATTGTTAAATTCTTATTTGTTACCTTTTTAAAAAAATATTAATCAAGAAATAAAAGTTACAGAGATTAATTTTTTTAATTAATTATTTTCCTAGAATAATTCCTAAAGTTCTTAATATTATTTAGTAAATCATTGTATGTTGTTGCTTGTCAAATTGTTAGAAAATTAACAAAAAACTTAGTTATATTAGAAAAATAAGTTTATAAAAAAAATTTATAAAATAAATAAATTCTAACACTTATGAAACCAATGAATATAAAAGATATAATTTGTTATAATCACTATTAGCCCAAAATTGAAAACGAATAAAAAGTACCGATGACATCCAAAGTTTGATAAAATCTCTAAAATCCTTAAATACAAATGAAATAAATCCATCTGAATTTAGCATAGCAAGTTAGCTACTGATAATGTCGAAATAAATTGACGCTGAATTGAATAATCCTGCAAATCAGAATACATCTCCATTCACATTTCAAACCACAATTTTTATTCCAGCAGAACGCACACTCATAAAGCGTATCAAAAACCCAACATTTCGATCCACTTTGCATTCGCAGCGAATATATTCAGATTTCTTTGATGCAAAGTCTCAATCAGTGGGCAAAAATATATTCTGACACTTTCATATCCGCTTGTACATATCTGCCAGTTCGGAATGGAGGAGAGCCGTGCGACGCCCGCCACTTTTTCTTCCTTTCTCTCGTACCGAAAAGACGTGGGCGTCGGAAAGAAAATACGGATATGAACGAGTCAGTTTAAGGATGAAGAGGCCTTGGGAGGGTTTTTTCGCGCGCGCTGAAATATGGAGCGGTGCCGCTTTACGCGCCCCAGAACACTTTAGGGCTCTTAAATCTAAGCTGTGCACCCGCCGGGAATTCGAAATTAATTTTCTACTTTTTATTGCGAATTGAAGTGTTTGATGAGTGAAAATGCCTTTGAGAACAAATGCAGCGG